CGCGCGTGTATGTTATGAATTATCTTCATAAAATAATTTAAATTTACATTAATTTATTTTAACAATGCAATATGCCTATTAATTATGCATAAAATATTAAAAGTAAAAGCAAAATATATATAATATAAATTTATTATACATATATAAATTAAATTCTTAAATTAAAAAATAAAGTTTTTAATATATAAATTAATTCTTAAATTAATATACTTTCAGATTCAGGGCAGCATTTGTTGTAAAAACCTTATTTACATTCATTATTTATATAATTTCAGTTATGTATGATATTACAATGGACAAGTTGCTTTGACAAGCGCATTTCTTTTTGACACCAGACGAGGTGGCCGAGTGGTTAAGGCGTTGGACTGCTAATCCAATGTGCTCTGCACGCATGGGTTCGAATCCCATCCTCGTCGTTCGCTTTTTGTTGGTTCACAATAGTCTGTCCTGTCCAGAGCAACATGTGTTAATTTATTACACAAAAGTACATTAGAGGAACTGTACAAAATTATACAAATTTCCCTAATGTACTTCTGGACAAATTATCGTGTAGTAACTTCGGATAGGAGGAGAGAATCCCTCGGAGAAAATCTATCGCGAGCCAAAAAGCAGACGAGGATGAGTTTTAAACCCACACGTGCAGAGCATATATTGGGTTACCAATCCAATACTTTAACCATTCTGATACCAAAAAGAAGTTGCCAAAGCAAAACTCGTCCCTTGTGATTCGTAATTTATATTAATTTCTGGATTTTCCCTATAATAATATTTTGCATCTCTCTGTTACGTTATGTCTGTGAAATTTTACCAATAATTCATCAAAACTGTATTTGTATCAAATCTAACCCCCCCGTTAATAAAAAAAGTTTCATTATATATTTTCAAAAGATCTTAATATCAGCTACAAGAATAATGATTGAGAGTTTCCATTAAATACACTTTAAAGTTCCTCCATATTTATACTCAAATAAGTTTTGCTATTTGATGCATTGTTCAAACTCTACATCTTTTGTATGAAACATTTTTCTTAAAAATGCTTTTATGAGATCTTTTATTATATCTATATTTTTGGCCCATTCTATACACATTACACATACACACACGCGCGCGCGCGCGTATTTTTTTTATATATGTGCATTATGTAATTTATAAATTACAATTAATCTTTCTAACAGTTTAACATTTGTAAATGCTTGAAATAGGGAAGATTAAATATTAGACGTAAAGTCTAATATTAATTTAATTAACAAAAATTACTTTTTTAACTAAACTTATGATGAATATTTAAATAAAGTAAATCTGTATTCTAGAAGTATTAAACCACATTAACAAATTTTAAAAAGTATTTATAATGTGTGTTATATAAAAATATCAATAAGTTTATTAAAAGAGATAGCATATGAAAAAACTGAAAATTCTTATGATCTTTATTATATTATATAATCACTTATAATTATATCCAATTTCATAATATTAGTAGTCTTAATTAACAACACTGTTGTTTATCACATAAATATAGAAATTGCGATAGTAACAAATTTTGTATTAATTGTTCCAAGGTTAAAGCAAGAATAAACAATAGCAAAAAAATAGCGCTATCACGTATATATACTAGATTAGATTGCAATTAGTGTGTTAATCATTGTCAATTACATTGCACTTTTTCAAATATGTTATGTACGTGCAAAGTTCAAATTATTTCAAGTAATTTAAGTTCACATATTTATCAAAAAAATGGCAGTTATTTCCTGTAATTTAAATGATTTATTTTTATTTAGATAATTTTATACGGCATTATTGTATAATATTCCTTCTTAGCGTAAATCTAACAGGATAATTAGTGTATCATCTATACATATAACTAATTCTCTCTCTCTTTATAAAATAATATTAACTCCGTGATGTATATACATATATATTTCAAAATATAGTAATGTTTAATTGTTTAATAATAATTAATAAATAAAGATAAAAAATTTATTAAAAAACAAATTTAATTCTGTATATTAAAAAGTTCTAAAATTCTCACAAATAATGAATAGGAAAGATAATTTAAAAAAATAATGTTTCGAAAAAAATCTAAATGCACTGTTATAAAATAATTTTAAAATTATAAAAATTTTATTAAAAATGATTTTTTGTACATACCTCTCATCATTCAATAATATATTCATAATCAAATCTTATATTCAAGACTCCAGTACAGTTTTAAGAAATCACTAATCAGAGAGCCATATTAGTGACTTAAGACATTACTTAGGACGGTCTTAAAATAAAAATCGACTATGAATACCGGCAATAGAACGATTAGAAGTCAATTCTTTTAAAAAGGTGTTTTATTATCTTGACATAAGAATATTTATAAAATTTTGATTTGTAATTCAATATCAAAGTCGAGAGAGAGAGAGAGAGAGAGAGAGAGAGAGAGAGAGAGAGAGAGAGAGAGAGAGAG